GTCATGTTGGAACAGAGTAAGAAGCGTAAACTTTAGGGTTCTTGAAGTATATATTAATATAATAATTATAATATATATAAATAGTTTTAGTTGTGGTAGGTATATAAACCAAACATGTTCCATACAACCTTCCGGCAAGAAACCCATGCAAGGACCTCCACGCATATTATTCCAAAGTGTACCTCGGTTCAAAAGTGATCATGAACATTGAGCTACATGCACTACACACTATACACACTGCATGTGCAAATGTATACGATATTGTACGGTATATTACGGTATATTTCTTATGTTTTCTTATGGCTTTAATCAAAGAAGACCATGGGTCAATGATGGTCACTGTAATTCAACAGTGAAAGCTTTTTTACACATCTGCCAGACTCAGTTGACCCGAGATGGCCCGGCACAGTGGGCTTAGTCGAGCCATGTCGAGCCCAGTCGCCGAGATCAAGGCTCCGCCCACCGCAGTGACTCGGAAGGCCTGGGTGGTCCAAACAGCTGGGGTGCGAAGCCCATGAGGTTCTGACATCAGGCAATCCACTTGATGTACAAGTCAGAACTTGATGTTCACCCAAAGTTTGTTTGGGGAAGCTGGTTGTGATGATATGTACATTGGTTGGGTATGATGGGGTATGATGTGGCTGGTTCTTGACACCTTGGGTCGACGATTTCTTCACATTCCGCGGCCAAGAACCTCCTAGCGTCCATGACGCCCTCCCGCACACACCATGTATGCAAACGTACATGCTGCAGGATAATTACACAGCTCTGCTTTGTGGACCAGGCCAAACATTGCCCTGGGAGGATGTGCCAATTTCAGGACTCTCACCGAGTATGTTCAAGCTTGTCCAAGTGGGTTGCAAGACAAGTTGTAGCACCAAAAGGTCAAGCCTACTCGTTGAGAACCCCCGCCATTGTGTTCGGGCTCTTTGCTTCGGGGGATCGCGTTAAGGCCACGCATTTCAGCGGCCAAACTGCCGCGCCTCCTTCACAAACTCCATGATGGCCAACGCGTGCTGGTCATGACCTGCAGTCTGACGTCACTGATGTCGCTTCAAATTGAAATTCCTAAGCAGACTCTCTTGAAAAGGAATATGGACATTGACAGACCACCCCCGGTTGATATGAGCATTGGTTTCCAAGTGTTTCCTGACCATGTCTGGCAATTTTCATGATGTGACTATTTCTGGGATTTATATTTCTGGGATTTATATATGAGGTGCCTCATTTTGGAAGGCGCGGTGTTGAGAGAATCTTTCGTGCATAAACAAACGCAGGCCCCCGAAACAAACGCGTAAATTGGACGTAAAGGTACCCAGTCTCTAGATTCCACCACAAAACAAAAAGGCAACTATCCGCACAAAGCACGGTCCAAACGATTCGGAACACCGCCCAGCATGGCTGAGCTTCAGCACAGAAAAAGGCGTCCAGAGTGCTTTTGTCCTTGGCACATAAAACAACGGTCCGGTCCGGGTGCGGCGTTCTGCAGCATCGAAGACATGCACAAACATGGGGGAATGCCCCAGTTGTTGCAAGGCCCATACCTCCACTTCACTCTTGCAGGTCCCCTCCCAAGCGAGAAGGATAAGAGTCCGGCGGCCCGGCGTACGGGGCCCTGGCCACCACCAATGGGAAGCTATCGCTGGGAATGTCCAATCTTCGGCAGTCTGCAGCCTTCCAAACAATGGAAGGTCGGCAGCCACCTCAGCATTCATCGACTCAACTCTGGGAAGGGTTCCATCTGAATTTGACCGGTTGGTTTGCAAGGCTTAAACCCACCTGATTGATACCCATCATCACCTCTGATTGATACCCACGGAGCCAGCATGGATCACGTGATTGCTGGGCGACCCGAGCGGTTTCGAGCTTCCATGTGGGTCATAGCAGCCTCTGAGATGTCCACGGCAGTCTGCTGGACATAGCCGGCATCGAACATATCCTCTGCATGTCCGAACGAAGAATCCCTTTAGGATACTCTCCTGGAACTAACATGGAAGTGGATGATGTGGAAAGCCCCTTGTTTGTAGAGAAAACTTGTCTTTTAAGATCTTTCTTTTAAGGGGCCATGACTGGGGCCATGCCATCCACTTGCATGTTACTCCCAGGGAATCTCCAACCGAACCCCATGGTCCATGACTTCTAAGCCAGGTCACGGGTGACCCTGAAGGCTTGTGAACTCCGTGGACTTTCTAGTGGATCATATCATACAGCCAACCCAAAAAGTGTTTTCTTGCGGATCATCTGATGGGTCACACAGATGTGCCAATGCCCTATGCACTTCTCACAGTCCATGTGGGTTGTCTTCGGAGGGTTCGTACTTCTCATCCTCAGTGACTTCGATGGCAAAACGGCAATACCAACAGGTTCTTCGGAAGAACAAGATCCCTTGGTTGAAGAATCTCAGAAGACTCTCCAAGATATGACCATATCCAAGGGTCCCTCCCCCAAAAAATGGTAAAATGGGGGTTCTGGGGAGTTTTTGTTCATCAATCACCTCGTTGATTTTTTTTGCCTCGCTAAAATTTGTGTTGAGGCTTTGTCGTTATTCTCTATGGGGTTTCTGGGGAAAATTTGGTGCTAAAAATCACTCTGTTCGGTGATATTCAACGAGGTGAGTGATTGTTTAGGTTGTTGTGTTTTATGTTTGGGGTTGGGGTTCAAAGGATTAGTTCATAATATGTTTAAATTAAGATATTATGAATTAATCATTTACGCTTTCCATTTACCTATTCCATCCCACCAATGTTCAATCACCCTCATTTGTGTTAGACAAGGTTTATTTGTATCGTTTAGTTCATCCATCGCTATTGATAATAGGGTCAGGTTTATAATCATAGCGTTGAATTCTCCATCACTGTTGAGTTTCTTACCACAATCAATGATGACTTTTTTGTCAGTGAGATTTTCATACATCTTTTTCATAATGTCAAAATCCACAAATGAATATATTATCATTCCATTTACTCCTTCATTGTCCTTCATCCTATCAATTACTTTCTTCCAAAATGCTTCTCCTTCCTCATCATTGATTGAAGGCATAGGATGGCATCTTACGAAGTCTCTTATCTCTTCGTCTTCCTTTTCTATTTGTTCCCTCTCCCAGTCATCATCATCACTACCAACTTCAACATATAACCCTAAATTTTCTGATACTTCACTCATATCATAAACTTTATTTAACACTACTCATTTTCTCTTACTATATATAGGTAATTTTTCTTTAAGTCTTTTTGGTGTATCATTCATTTTTGGGCTCTGGTTGGTTTTCTTTTCCTTCTTCCTCCTCTTCTATCTCTTTTATGACTTTATCAAACTCATTCATTCCTTCGTTCTTGTATCTGCCATTGGCGAGGTTTCTTAATTGCTCAAATTGTTTCGCTTCTTGTCTCTTCTCGGACGTTAGTTCTTTCAGGTGTTCCTTCAACTCTTCTAAATCAAAATATGTATCTTCCTCTTCATCCTTGAAGTCGTTTTCAAAAAACATTCTCATTCTCACCTTTTCCATCTCTAAAAGTTTGTTTTCCATAGTCTGGAATTTCATTTGTCTCTTTCCGCACTTCCCGCACATATTCACATAGGTCTTTAACAAATATGACCAGTTCGGTTCTTTCCATTCATTCAACGTTATAACTTCAGTCATTATCCGACATCCACAATCAAATTTAGTCATTTTTCTCTCTTACTCTTATATGTCATTTTTTCTTTAAGTATATGTTTTATTCTTTAAGAAATCTTTAAAATCTAAAACTATAATAATGGCAAGAAGATTAACAAAAGAACAGGTGATAAGCAACGCATACTACGATTTGGAAACTGGCTTCGGCTCAATCCAAGACACACTAAAACAAGCAAAGGAACAAGACCCAACCATCACAAGAGTAGATGTTGAAACCTTTATGAAGAAACAACCCAACAAACAGATTAGAGGATACAGAGGTTCAAACTCTTACACGGCTCCGTTCGCGAGGTTCGAATACCAGATTGACATAATGCACATGAAGCCTTTAACCAAAGTTCCGGAAGCAAAAATACCGATGAAGAACGATGAACCACCCTATGCGTTAGTCGTTATAGACATATTCAGTAAGATGGGCGACGTCATACCTATGAAGCAGAGAGACGGAGCATCGGTCTTACCAGCGTTGAAAGAGAGTTTCAAGAAGATGGGCTTTCCGATGAGCATCTATTCGGATGACGACGGGGCATTTCAAACGGTGGTGGCAAAGTTCTTTAAGGACGAAGGCATCAATCACATCATCACGAGGACACACGCCAACGTCGCGGAGCGTTTCATCAGGACACTAAAGAACATGATACACGACAGGGTCAGATTTAATAGGGCAGGATGGACGAGTATGCTTCCGCCCGTCTTGAAGAAATACAACAGCACCAAGCACTCATCCACCAAACTCACACCCAACGAAGCCCACGATGATAAGAACCACATGGACGTTAAAGTTAATCTGACGAGGAGAGAAAAGAACACGAGGAAATACGAGGAGATAAACGAGAACGACACAGTCAAAATCTTCACCAAGGGCAGAGGCAACTACACCGACAGGAAGGAGTATGTAAGCCGATGGTCAAAGCAGAACTACAAGGTAAAGAAAATTGAATATGACAGCACAGGCAATAGAACATATTTGATTGAAGGATTGACTAAACCCTTCCTTAGACACGAGATACTGAAAGTTCATACTTAGACCTTTGACAGGATGTCATATATCAGTTCTTCCGGTATTCTGTATAGTTCATCCTGTGTCTTCTTCCTTTGTTCCTCCCATCTGCCTTTACAGGGAAGTCTCTGTGCGGTTTCTTTGTGTCTATTGCCTACCATACTATTACAGTCTTTTTTACATAAGGGTCTGGGTTTCCAACTCTTTAAGTTGGTCGCGTTGCGAGGGAGGATATGACCCTGTTGGTCATATCCACCCATCCATATTCTGGTTCGCTTCCTATATTCAAAACCATACTTACAATAATCCACATCATAATAATCAAAATCTTTCATAAAGTCCTGTTCCTTCAAAAGTCCCGTCTGTGGATTTTCTATGAAAAATATTCTCGGTTGAAAGTAATTGATGATTTCAATCGTTTTCCTTACGATGCTGTTGGCATAATCTATGTTTCTAACACCAGTCGTTTTTGCTCTGCTGTATTCAGTGCAAGGAGGCGAAGACCAAATTATATCAAAATCCTTATCAATTTTTTTGTAGTCCCATTGTAGTATGTCTTCATTAATGTTTGCGTTCTTCAAATCTAACGATATAACACTAAAACCGTATTCACGGGCAACTCTACCAACACTACCTGTTCCACTAAACAGTTCCAATAGTTTCATATTAAAACTTTATAGATTTTTAATATGAAAGTATCATACTAAAACATACTTCTCTGTTTCCGTGTCCTTAACGATTTGGTAGTATTCAAGGGTCTGTTCTTTAGGTTGTGTGATTTTTCCTTTGTTAATCCACTCTAAATACTGTTTTCTCTTCTCATCCCACGAACCGGCGGGTCTTCCTATCTGCTTCTTTTCAAAAATCTTATTCATTCTCTCCTTCTCATCATCATCGTTTTTCTTCTCCTCTTTTTTCGGTTTGGTGAGTTTCTCCTCAATGGTGAGTTTCTCCTCAATGGTCTTCAAGGTCTCCATTATGGTTTTGATGTTCTTATTACACCTGTTGAGTTTGTTGGTCAGTTCTGCCAGTTTGTCGGTGTTCCCGTCCATATCACTGATAATTATATATCTATTTATATAATTACTTATTTAGATATTTATTTATCAAATCTTTCCCGTCAAAAATCTACTCTTTAAATAGTTTATTTTCACTTATCAACTATACACTTCACAGTCTCAAGCGTTGTCTCGTTCTCCGTCGGTGTAATCTGCTTACCCCATTTAAAGGTTATGTTATGAATGTCCGTCTCAACGTTGATGTCTCCGTCTTTCGTCTTGTCAATGGTCATACTCTTGTCGCTCTTACTCACTTTGAATGTGAAGGGAACACACTTACACTGACAATCACCTTTCTTCTTGATGATGAGTTCGTTTTGCATTTCCAGCATCTTTTTACAAGCAGGACATTCAAACTTGATGTCATTGCTTTTCTCTACTATCTCCTCTTCCTCCTCAATCGTCTCGGTTTGGATTTCAACATCTTTACTTGTCTTTTTCTTTTTCACCATCACTAATATAAAAATAATTAGATAATATGTTCGTGCAATTATCTAATTATTTTGTGGGGAACTTTAAAGCACTTCAGGGGCGTAGGTCGTTTCAAATGAAAATACGGGGAGGCAAAGCAAACCAAACTAATTAACGGCTTATGCGGATTGAAGCGAACTGTCCCTATAATGGTTTGCTTCAATAAGAATATAAACATTTTATTTTCTAAATATTTTTAATATCAACTAGATGATAAACATCAAACCATATAAGCACAAGGAATACAGCAGTAAGCAGTCAAAGTATGGTTATATGGCACCGCTTCCAGCGAGAATTCTTTTGAACGCTCCGTCAGGAACAGGTAAAACAGTAGCACTGACAAACCTGATCATGGACATCTACAAAGACTGTTTTGAAAAGATATACATATTTTCACCCACCGTCTTTATAGATGACACTTGGGCGGTGGTGAAGAAATACATTGAACGTGAAATGGACATCAAGCACACGGACGAAGACCCCATCTACTTTGACAACTTTGAGGAGAAAGACCTTAAGAACATCATAGACACTCAGGAAGGAGTAATCAAGTATATGAAGGAGAAGGAATACAAACACCTCTACAACATCTGCATCATCATTGACGACTGGGCGGACAACGAACGCGTTGTAAGAAAGAACAAGGAGTTAGTCAAACTATTCACGAAAGGCAGACATTGGTATATCTCAACCTTCATCACTTCACAGTCCTACACACAAATATCCCCAGTAGT